TTACATCTGGGGGCATTTCCATTCCTGTCTAGAATCATAGAATCTGCAAAAGACCTCAGGAGGCATCGAGTCCAGCCCCCTGCCTGAAGCAGGAGCAACCCCAGTTAAACCATCCCAGCCAGGGCTTTGTCAAGCCGAGATTAAACACCTCTAGGAATGGAGATTCCACCACCTCCCTGGGTAACCCATTCCAGTGCTTCCTCACCCTCCTAGTGAAATAGTTTTTCCTAATATCCAAACTAGACCTCCCTCACAGTAACTTGAGACCACTGCTCCTCGTTATCACATCTGTCACCACAGAGAAGAGCCTTGCTCCATCTTCTCTGGAACCCCCTTCATGGAGTTGAAGGCTATCAAATCCCCCCTTACTCTTCTGCAGACTACTCTTACTCTTCAGCATCTCCTTGTAGGTCATGTGCTCCAGCCCCCTAATCATTTTGGATGGCCTCTGCTGGACCCTGTCCAATGTGTCCACATCCTTTCTGTAGTGGGGGACCAAAACTGGATGCAATACTCCAGGTGACCTCACCAGAGCCAAATAAAGGGGAATAATCACTTCTCTAGATCTGCTGGCAATGCTCCTCCTAATGGACCCTAATATGCCATTAGCCTTCTTGGCTACAAGGGCCCACTGTTGACTCATATTCAGCTTCTCATTCACTGTAATCCCTAGGTCCTTTTCTGCTGAACTGCTACTTAGCCAGTCGGTCCCCAGCCTATAGCATAAGAATGGCCATACTGGGTCAGACCAAAGGTCCATCTAGCCCAGTATCCTGTCTGCTGACAGTGGCCAATGCCAGGTGCCGCAGAGGGAGTGAACTGAACAGCTAATGATCAAGCGATCTTTCTCCTGCCATCCATGTCCACCCTCTGACAAACAGAGGTTAGAGACACCCCTCATTACCCATCCTGGCTAATAGCCACTAATGGACTTAACCTCCATGAATATATCTAGTTCTCTTTTAAACCCTGTTATAGTCCTATCACAACTGCCTCAGGCAAGGAGTTCCACAGGTTGACTGTGTACTTTGTGAAGAAGAACTTCCTTTTATTTGTTTTAAACCTGCTTGCTGCCCATTAATGTGCATTACTTTACATTTAGCCACATTAAATTTCATTTGCCTTTTTGTTGCCTAATCACTTAGCTTGGTGAGATCTTTTTGAAGCTCTTCACAGTCTGCTTTGGTCTTAACTGCCTTGAGCAGTTTAGTATCATCTGCAAACTTGGCCACCTCACTGTTTACCCCTTTCATTTATGAGTAAGTTGAATAGGATTGATCCTAGGACTGACCCTGGGGGAACACCACTAGTTATCCCCTCCATTCTGAATATTTACCATTTATTCCTACCCTTTTTGTTTCCTGTCTTTTTAACCAGTTCCCAATCCATGAAAGGATCTTCCCTATTATCCCATGACAACTTAATTTATGCAAGAGCTTTTGGTGAGGGACCTTGTTAAAGGCTTTCTGGAAATCTAAGTACACTGTGTCTACTGGATCCCCCTTGTCCACATGTTTGTTGACCCCTTCAAAGAACTGTAATAGATTAGCAAGACATGATTTCCCTTTACAGAAACCATGTTGACTTTTGCCCAACAATTTATGTTCTTCCATGTGTCTGACAATTTTATTCTTTTCTGTTTCAACTAATTTGCCCGGTACTGACGTTAGACTTACCGGTCTGTAATTGCTGGGATCGCCTCTAGAGCCCTTTTTAAATACTGGCGTTACATTAGCTGTCTTCCAGTCATTGGGTACAGAAGCTGATTTAAAGAATAGGTTACAAACCGTAGTTAATAGTGCCAGTTTCCCATTTGAGTTGTTTCAGAACTCTAGGGTGATGCCATCTGGTCCCGGTGACTTGTTACTGTTCAGTTATCAGTAATTCCAAAATCTCCTCTAAGGACACTTCAACATGTGACAATCCCTCAGATTTGTCACCTATAAAGGACAGGTCAGGTTTGAGAGCCTCCCTAACGTTCATGGAGGTTAGGTCCATAAAAGGCTATTGGCCAGGGGATAAAATGGTGTCCCTGGCCTCTATTTGTCAGAGGCTGGAGAGGGATGGCAGGAGACAAATCGCTTGATTATTGTCTTCGGTCCACCCCCTCCAGGGCATCTGGTGCTGGCCAATGTCGGCAGACAGGCTACTGGGCTAGATGGACCTTTGGTCTGACCCAGTACGGCCGTTCTTATGTTCTTATCCTCAGCCATGAAGACTGAAGCAAAGAATTCATTTAGTTTCTCTGCAATGACTTTATCGTCTTTAAGTGCTCCTTTTGTGTTGCGATCGTCTAGGGGCCCCACTGGTTGTTTAGAAGGCTTCTTGCTTCTGATGTACTTAAAAATCATTTTATTATCTTTTGAGTTCTTGGCTAGCTGTTCAAAGTCCTTTCTGGCTTTTCTTATTACATTTTTACACTTAATTTGGCAGTGTTTATGCTCCTTTCTATTTTCCTCATTGGGTTTTGACTTCCACTTTTTAAAATGCCTTTTTATCTCTCTCTGCTTCTTTTACATGGTTGCTAAGCCACGGTGGCTCTTTTTTAGTTCTTTTACTGTGGTTTTTAATTTGGGGTATACATTTAAGTTGGGCCTCTATATTGTGCTTAAAAGAAGCACCCGGGATCTTTTTCAGGGGGATAAGGCAACACGCCACATTTATTGAACATACATAGATCAATCAATACTTATCATATGCATATGACACATTACACTCATGTACACACACACACACACACACACACACACACACACACACACACACACACACACACACACACACACACACACACTCCGTCTTGTTGTTACCAAAAGTTGCTCCCCCTAACTGCACTGGCCGGGTGAGTTAGATGGGGGAGAGATGGAGCCGGGCTTCTGCCGATCCGGATCGATGCTCCCATGTTGACAAGATGAAAACCCGGGGTCCCTCTGCAAGATGCTTCCTATTTATCCCTCTCATGCAGCCGATTAGTCATCACCTGGCCTTTCTTAATGCTGCTTCAAAGAGAGTTCTTCCAAGGGCAGGCACTTGCTGCTTGACTCCCAAGGCCTCTTCTTAATGAACTCACTTTGCAGGTATTGTCTTAGATCTGGCTCCCAGACCTTCTCCACCCTTGCAACGGCCGCTGGAGGTGCTCACCTTTCATTCTCCATTCATACCTAATCCTTTTCACAGGACAATCCAGGAAAGGGGAGGGCTCAAAAGACATTTTTTCTTACAAGATCTATATATCTTAATACAAAGTTATAGGAGAAATGTTACAGAGATTCTATAAGAACACTTAACAAAGATATATCTAAAAAGGACAAGATCTTTAATATAAAATATAATATTACAGGGATTTATCCACATCTATTATGGGCTGTGTCTACACTGGCACCCTTTTCCGTAAAAGGGATGCTAATGAGACACTTCGGAATTGCAAATTCCGCGGGGGATTTAAATATCCCCCGCGGCATTTGCATGAACGTGGCTGCCGCTTTTTTCCGTCTCGGGGTTTTGCCGGAGAAAAGCGCCAGTCTAGACGGGATCTTGCGGAAAATAAGTCCTTACAAGTAGGAATAAAGGATCTAGTAGGAATAAGGGATCTTCCAAAGTGTCTCATTAGCATCCCTTTTACGGAAAAGGGTGCCAGTGTAGACACAGCCATGGTGTCTTTGAAAAGTCCCTGCAAGCTGCATGGACATTTTACTTCAGTCACTGTACCTTTTAATTTCTGTTTAACTAACATCTTCATTTTAACATAGTTCCCCTTTCTAAAAGTAAATACCACAGTGTTGGGCTTCTGAGGTGTTCTTCCCAGCACAGAAATGTTAAATGTTGTTATATTATGGTCACTAATTGCAAGCGGTCCTGTTATCGTTACCTCATGCACCAGATCCTGCGCTCCACTCAGGACTAAATCGAGAATTGCCTCTCCCCTTGTGGGTTTTTGTGTCAGCTGCTCCAAGAAGCAGTCATTTAAGGTATCGAGAGATTTTTGTGTCTGCATGTCCTGGGGTGACATGTACCCAGTCAATATGCGGATAGTTGAAATCTGCTACTATTATTGAGTTTTTTATTTTGATAGCCTCTGTAATCTCCCTTAGCATTTCATAGTCGCGCTCACTGTCCTGCTCAGGTGGTCAATAATAGATCTCTACTGTTATATTCTTATTAGAGCATGGAATTACTATCCATGGAGATTCCGTGGAACTTGTTGATTCATTTAAAATTTTTGCTTCATTTGTTTCTTATGAATGTTCTTAGATAGATTCGTGGAGGTTAGGTCCATCAATGGCTGAGAGTTGGGATGGGTAGGAATAGTGTCCCTGGCCTCTGTTTGTCTGGAAATGGATGACAGGAGAGGGATCGCATGAGGATTATCTGTCATGTTCCTTCCCTCTGGGACATCTGGCATTGGCCACTGTTGGCAGACAGAACACTGAGCTAGATGGACCTTTGGTCTGACCCAGTGTGGCTGTTCTTATGTTAGGCTGAGCTCCAGCTGTTCCTTAACATTTCCCACAATTACCTCCTTTCAGCTTCTTGGTGGGGGGGCATTGGGCACCATAGGGCAGGCTCCTGAAGGCCCAGAGCCTCAACACTGTGTCTAGTCCAGCGTTGGGTCAGTGCCCTGAGGCATGGTGTTCAATGCCAGCACTCGCGGGAGCCCTGCTTGCATTAGCACGCACTGTTGGTCCCACTGGGGCTGCCTCCACTAAGGGGCGCAGGAGGCTTGGAGTGAAACACCATTGGAGATGAGGGTAGTGGTGGGGCATGTCATTGATACATGCACGGGAGCTTTCAGGCTGAAGGGCCAGGGGAGTGCAGCTAAACTTGTGCACCCCCTTTCCATCCGGATCAGAAACATCCGGTAACTGTTGGATCTTGAAGCTGAACACATGCTTGGTTACCCTGTAAGCTGGCCCACTCCGGTCAGTGCGTGTGGGGCTGGGTTGTCAGGCATTGCTAGCCACTTGCCCAGGATAGACAATGTGCTTGCTCTCTGATTGCAGATGTGCAGCAGATGGTTCTTCGCTTCTCCCAGGAGGCCATTTCCAACTACAGCATCTTCCTGGTGTCCCCACAAACCAGGACTCTGTATGTGGGAGCCAAGAATGCCATCTTCGCCCTGCCGTTGGAGTCAGTCAACCAGTCTGCCAAGATGGTGAGCACAAGACCCAAACTCTGTGGGGCCGTCTGGAGGAGGGTGGGTGCATATGGGATGTGATCACGGGCCTGGCGGGGTGTATGTGTGGGCTGGTCTGATTCAGGAGATGCCACCAGGGAGTTGTAGGAATTAGGGACATGAACAACCAGTTACTATCCAATAAGCAAATGTAAACAGGGGAATGGTTCCGCTATTGTGGGGAACTTTCCTGGCTTCTATACCACCCCGGTGAAATGGACCAGCGAAAGGATCTGAGTCCCCGCTCCCACTTCCTTTACCCCACGGCTTCCTGATCCTGAGGGCTCCCCCTCCACTCTCTTGAGTAGCAGAGCCCTCGAAACCCCAGGTTTCCTGGGGCTTAATCCCCAACCCTGTAGTCACTAGGGGCAGGAGTTAGGGTGTCCCCACTCCGAGGTGCTCTCTTTACACTGCAGGCCTTCTTGGCCCAGTGATCACTTCATAAGGTTCAAAGCAAATACAATTTATTAAACATCAACTGATTAAAGAGAATAGAATAAGAAACAATGAGAATGGTTAAATGAGAACACACAGCCCTGCTCTGTAGCACAGGGACATCAACACAGCAGTCTGCAGAGTGTAAGGACAGTTCACAGTCTCTTCCTTAGAAGCCCTGGATGTGCTGCAAGGGGCTGCAGGCTGGACACGCTTGCACTGGCAGTGACCACACAGCCTCAGTCTCTAAGTGGCCAGACCCCTCTCCCAGTCCAGAGCCTTTCCCCACACTTTGCAGGTCCCAGTAGCTCACCACATCCAGCTGCAGGCTGTGCTGCTTGGCCAGTTCCAGCTCCTTGTGTTGCTTCTCTGTTCCTTTTGGCTTTCTGAGCACTGCCAGTCTGCTGCTCAACACAGGGTCTGCACTGCTTGGCCTGTCTGTGTCTGGTTCTGTCGCTGCAGGACTTCTTCTTGTACTCCTCTTTCAGATCTCTGTCTTTGCAGGACCTCTCCTGCACACAGCTCGCTCTGCTCTTTCAGCTCCCTGTTTGCTCAGAGAGAGAGCCAGAACAACCCCCACTTACAACCTGTCAGTCAGGCTGAGCTGGAGTGTTGACTGCTTTCCATTGTCTCTGGGGTCTGTCAGTCTCATGAACCCTGCCCCTTCTGAAGCTGGTAAACCAAAAACTCCCACAGAGTTTTAGTAAGGGGGTAACAGTCCCCTTACACAAGCAAGCAGGGACACCTGAGAAGTGTGTGTGTGTGTGTGTGTGTCTTTAAGCACAGGCCTCAGACAGCCTCAGGCTTGGGCTGTGTGTGTCTGGCTCTGTCACTGCAGGACTGCCCCTCACCACAGCTTGTACTCCTTGGGCTGTGTGTGTCTGGCTCTGTTGCTGCAGGACTTCTTCTGCACACAGCTTGCACTCCTCTTAGCTGTCTCTCAGCTCTCTCCTTGCTCAGAGAGACCCTGAACAGTCCCAGCTCACAGGGAGCTCCTGTCCTCTTGCTTTTCTCACTGGCCTGTCCAACTTGTCAATCATGCTGAGCTGGAGTGTTGGCCTCTTTCCATTGTCTCTGGGGTTTGTCAGTCTCATGGACCCTTCCCCTTTTGATACTGGGAGCTGGCCAACCAAAAACTCCCACAGAGTTTTAGTAAGGGGTAACAGGTCCCCTTAGACAAATGCTTGTCAGATAGTCAACACACTAGTCGCTTCATAGAATCATAGAATAATAGGACTGGAAGTCCAGCCCCCCGCCCTCAAGGCAGGACCAAGCTCCGTCTACACCATCCCTGACAGATGTCTATCTAACCTGTTCTTAAATATCTCCAGAGAGGGAGATTCCACCACCTCCCTTGGCAATTTATTCCAAGATTTGACCACCCTGACAGTTAGGAATTTTTTCCTAATGTCCAATCTAAACCTCCCCTGCTGCACTTTAAGCCCATTACTCTTTGTCCTGTCCTCAGTAACCAAGAGGAACAAATTTTCTCCTTCTTCCTTGTGACACCCTTTTAGATATTTGAAAACTGCTATCATGTCCCCCCTTAATCTTCTTTTTTCCAAACTAAACAAGCCCAGTTCATGAAGCCTGGCTTCATAGGTCATGTTCTCTAGGCCTTTAATCATTCTTGTCGCTCTTCTCTGTCCCCTTTCCAATTTCTCCACATCTTTCTTGAAATGTGGCGCCCAGAACTGGACACAGTACTCCAGCTGAGGCCTAACTAGTGCAGAGTAGAGCGGCAGAATGACTTCACGAGTTTTGCTTACAACACACCTGTTGATACAACCTAGAATCATATTTGCTTTTTTTGCAACAGCATCACACTGTTGACTCATATTCAGAGGCAGCAAGGAGGGGAAGCGGTGGGGGTCCTTCAAAATGGCAGCACCATGTGGAGACTGGGGTCCCCAGCTGATCCTGGGCTCCATGCAGCACTGCCACTTCCGTGCTCCCCGCAGCACTTTTGCCTTTGAAGTATGAAGCACGCTTATCAACTAATCGAATAGTCAATGCAAATTGCCAAATAATCAAACTTTCAAATCCCCAATAGGGATGGTGGAACAGGAATGGGGCATGTGGGCATGTGGGCATGCACTGAGCACATCATGAAATTTCTGAGTTCATGGCACTTTCCATGGTGCATTGCTGTGAGGGTAGGTACGGTTGGGTGCGGGTGCACGGAGATGATATGCCCAGAGTAGCGGGTGCAGCAGGGCTGTAGGATTTGGGAAGGGGGAGGGGGGCTTGACTTTGGGAGATGAGCCGTGGGGCTGTGGGGACTGGTGCCCCCTTCCCCCAACTAAGAACTAAAGCAAATGAAATATGCAGTGTGAAAGTGCCCAAAACCAAACAACCCAAAAAAGTAACTCTGGGCCCAGCTGCACAAATAGTTCATACAGGACAGCGCCACTGCAGTGCGGGAGGCCAAACAAACTGCTTCCTCCTCCATAGTTCATGAGACAAAATCATAGTCAACAGTGGGGACATAAAATCCTGCTTAATTAAATTCCCAAATCTGAGCTGTCCTTTGTAGGTGACAAATCTGAGGAATTTTCCCAGATTGAGGTGTCATTAGAGGAGGTTTTGGAACAAATTGATAAACTTAACAGTAACAAGTCACCCGGACCAGATGGCATTCACCCAAGAGTTCTGAAAGAACTCAGATGGGAAATTGTGGTTTGTAACCTATCCTTTAAATCGGCTTCTGTTCCCAATGACTGGAAGGTAGCTAATGTGATGCCAATATTTAAACAGGACTCTAGAGGTGATCCCAGCAATTACAGACCAGTACTGTAATTTAGCGAATATACCCTATATAAACACCACACCCAAGTATACCCCACGGTTTTTCCCTTTTGAGTTTAGAAATCTTTGTATACCTCATGCAGGAGAGACTCAGTGAATAAAGCCCTTTTAATCACCTGTCAGTGAGCTGAAGTTGATGATGGTAATGAGAAGCTCCTATAATCAGCTGTTAATGAGCCACAGCTGATAAGGCCAAACAGTAAGAAAACCTTTATCCTTTTTAAGCTTTTCAAACTTTTTAAAGCTTTTAGAAATGCCTAAGCGCAAGTCATACGCTGGCGATTTTAAATTGAGTGTAGTGGCTTTTGTAAAGGACAATGGCACCAGCTTGGACCAGAGTGAAACCGGCAACTATTCGCAACGGGTTCTGCAAGTGTGAAATTCTACCCAACAATGACTCTTCAAGCTCTGACTCAGAGTACGATAGTGATTCTGATTCAGAAACACAAACCTCAAATGTCACCGAAGCTGATCTCGCCCTGGCTATGGATGTTTTTCAAGATACTGACTATGATGAGAGTTTTGATGGCTTTGACAACTCAGATGCTGAGGAGGATGTTGCTGGCGCTGACTCTAGAGTTCAGAGTGAATGAGAATGTGAAGCCTTTCTTTTTTACAGTGTTTTTATTCTTTTACTAGTTGCACAATAAAGTAATGTTTTAAAATTTGTTTTAATGTATTATAATGTCTTCTAAAGAATTTTAATGAATTGGAACATAACAGTCTCTATTATTAAATTACAACTAGCCAATTAGCCCGTCATAAGATGGGATTTTCAGGTCTTCTCTTCTGAGCGCGTGCGCGCTCGTGCTCTCTCTCTCTCTCTCCTCCTACTGCCTCCCTCAGTTCTCCTCCGCCTCCTGCCTCTCTCTCCGTCTCTTTCTTTCTCTTCTCCCCCTCCTACCTCTCACTCTCCCTTTCTCTTCTCCTCCTCCTCCTGCCTCTCTCTCCCCTCTGTCTCTCCCTGCCACCCTTCCCCTTCTACTTCCCTCCCGCCATGGTGCTCAGTTGAGTGCTGCCTGTTCAGGCAGGCTGCGGCGAAGGAGGAGGGTGGGGCGGTGATGTAAACGGCCAGGGGATGGGTGCCACAGTGGGAGGAGAAGGGGGGGAGGTGACGTACATGGCACCGCCCACTGGCCACGTACGTCAGCACTCCGCCCCCTTCCCCTCCCGCCGCGGCGGCTGTG